GCAATCACTTGTTATGCATCAGAGAGTTGGACAATGACTAGGGAGGATAGAAGAATTGACGCCTTTGAGCTGTGGTGCTGGAGAAGAGTATTGAATGTACTATGGACTGCCAAGAAAAACAGATTCATCCTGGAGAGGGTTAAACCAGGCTACTCCTTGGAGGCAAGGATTCTGGGGCTTCGTCTGACATACTTTGAACATGTAAGGAGAGACAGGTCCTTCTTGGAGAGGGACATCATGCTTGGTAGGGTAGAGGGACAGCGCAGCAGGGGAAGACCCTCTATGAGGTGGATTGATTCAGTGACTGGGATAATCAGGATGGGAGTGTAGGAGACAGTGCGATTGGCACAGGACAGAGCAGAGTTTAGGGCTGTTGTACATACAGTCGCTATGAGTCGCAAACGACTCGATGGCCCATAACAACAAAAACAACATAAAGATGAAAGATTAATGCCTTTGAGTTGTGGTGTTGGGGAAGAGTTCTGGATATCCATGGACTGCCAAAGAACCATTCTCTCTTGGAGGAAGTGAAACCAGGATGCTCCTTAGAGGTAAAGGTGGTGAAACTTTATCTCACAAATTTTGGGCATGTTGTTAGGAGGGGCTAGTTCTTGGAAGAAAACATCATCCTGGGAAAGGTGAAGGGTCAAAGACAGGGAGACTCGGCAACTGACTAAGTTGAAGATAGCATTGGACAGAACAAGATGCATAGGGTTGTCTACAGGGTCGCTGCTAGCTATAATTGACTCTACAGCACCTACCAACAACAAAACATTTTCTAAAGTGCTTCTAGGTGAAAATGGTTATGGTGGGTCATGTATATTAGGCCAATGAACGTTAATTTTGGCCAAGTCTTCTGATCCAATAGTGAACAAAGGAGTATTAGTAGAGAAGTTTTTACTTAAGGTGGACACGGCTCCTAGTAACCCCAAGTGTCTTCATAGATTCAAACATCAACCTAAACGTCAAGTGTCCCTTACTCTGTAATAGAAGTGAAACTTTTCACAACTCAAGCTGTATCTTAGGGCTGGGGATGCCGAAGAAACCATACTCCATCCTACTCTTCCCTCCTGGATCACAGCACAGCAAAACCAGAAGTAAACATCTCCTTTTATTAATTTTCCCAAAGGTGTAATAGCCTCTATGGGAGCGGAGGAAGGTGGGAAGGAACGCGTTTAAGAGGAGCTAAGAGGCAAACAGGAAAGGATAAACGTCATCTAGATTCCACCAAACTCAGCCCTAACACTTATATTTGACGTCTTCCCGAGGCTTTCGAAGAATACCATGCACTTTCTCAGCACGTCCTGCATCCACTACTGGCCGCCCGTAGTTACTCAGTTTCTCCAAGGGGCAGTTTGCTTTCCTGGCCAGGGACCTCTTTGTACTCTCAGCACAGCGATTCGCCTTGACAGGTGCTCACAAAATTTCACTAAATGATTTTTTAGAGCACTTTGGCACGTCTCTAAATTGCTCCAGGTTTTTCTTCTGTACGCCTCACTCTAGCTAATAATGCTTCTCGACGACTACGCCCATCACACGCTAGGCCACTCCCCCCGTTGCATTATGGGAACTGTAGGCGCCAGGGACCGCTTGTTGTATTGCGGGAGTTGTAGGCTACGGGACCGCATGCATTCTGGGGAATGTAGGAAAGGAAAGCAAGAATGGCAGCGCGAACAGCCTATCGGCTCCAGTTACCGCTGCGCTGATGTTTTGTTGCTTGGGCGCGAGGCCCTTGGATTGGTGGCGCTGAGGCCTCTCTTCGATCTCCCGCGCCACGTGAAACTATAATGGCAGAACTGGGCCTTCTCGTCAATCCCGCAGGCCGCGTGAAGCTGTAGGGGCGGCGCGGGCCTTTTACGTTAATCGCACACGCCGCATGAAGCTGTAGAGGCGGCGTTGGCCTTTTACGTCATTCCGAGCGCCGCGTGAATCTGTTGGGCGCTTCGATACAGACGGCGAGGCGCTTGGTGGGATCGTGATTTGCCGACAGGCTCTGTTGCTACCAAGTGCGCCATGGTTCACCTCTGTGAGTGACTTTTCTGCGGGTCATGGGGTTCTGGGGTCCAGGGCTTGGTGAAACGACGCTCCCTTTTGCGTGCCGTAGGAGACAGGACTTGAACCGGCACACTATCCTAACGTCCTCCCACTCTCACGGTGCCCCCTGTAATTGTCTCTGATACGCAAGAAGTAGACCCCCCTCATTTTCAGGGTGAGGCAGCTGAGGCTAGAGGAGACGAGGTTGACAAGGTACGGAGATAGTAAGTGGCAGGCACATGCCGCGTGGTTTGGGAGGTGAGGAAGTGGATAAAAGCATTTTCTCAAAAGTTAATAGTGTTTGAGCCAAAGCGGCAAGAATTGAGAATTTTTATTGGAATAAGAGGGTTGTTTAACTCATTTAGTTCGCCTGATACCTGTAGTCTCGTGTCTTAACCAGTTATTTCTCTGTCAGCGACCTTCCTCTGCAAGTCCTACCATGGAGGCCATCTAACCATCCGCCTCGCCCTGAGTGGCTGTACCAACCGACCCTTCTACCGTATTGTGGTTGCTTTCAATAAGTATGCCAGGGATGGCCGCTTCGTGGAGCAGCTGGGCTCCTATGATCCGTTGCCCAACACGCATGGAGAGAAGATTGTGGCCCTCAACCTGGAGAGGATACAACATTGGCTTGGCTGCGGCGCTCACCTCACTAAGCCCATGGAAAAGCTGCTGGGTAACATAGCTGACCCCCCCAGCAGGTTTCCAAAGCTCTAAATAGCACGGGTGTAGATTGTCCATTTTTCTCCTGTGGAACAGTGTATATCAAATGACCACCTGTCACAGCTTAACTGTTTCCAATTACTCTTTTTAAAATAATATTAGGACATAAACAATATACGTTGTCACTTTGGTTACATGGAGTAGGGGAGAAGAGTTGGGTTCCTGAGCATGTTCTATCTCCGTGGTTGGGGTTTGGTGTCTGTTCTCAGTTGTGTGAAGCAGAGTTCTGAAAGAAACAGTAATTTGTATTCTTTTAAAATATGTGAAATACTTTTGCTTTCAGGTCTTTCTGGCTTTTTCCCTCTGCATCCCATGATGATCACTAAAGCTGAGAGACTGCGGAGGAAACGGGCACGTGAAGCTCTCTTAGCTACTCAGAAGACAGATACAGAGGCTGCTGAAAGAGAAGCAGACTGACTTAGGTGTGCACACCAGCGAGACTGACATCACCAAAGTCATCTTAAAACACTTACGTAAAGCTTTTACTTTTTTTAGATTTAGAAGTTAATAAGTGGAGTTTTCCGACTCATTCATGCCCTTCTGAAGACAGGAAAAGGTGGTGGGGCTCTTTTATCCTGCCTTGAGCTGGGCCCTGGAAGGGACTTGTTGTCTGACGCGGTCTAGAACTGAGTCTAGGTATTAATTTGTTTTTTCAGCCTTAGTTGTAGGAATGACTGGCTGTGGGAAGAATTGAATGTTTGGGCTGCACTCTAGGTTTCTTGGACAACTTTTATCAATTCCAATGTTTCCCTTCCCTGACCAGCATGTCATGTCCCATCCCAAGTCATTCTTTCCTTATCATTTATGGTCATTCATTTAGCATAAGAACACAGTAACTTTTCTCATTGTTTTTGAAATTTGATACTTAGATAGTCATTCTCAACCATAATGTCAGATTTTTAAAAAGAGATTGCTAGTTGCTTCAGGAACTTTGATAGTCTATTTTTAAATTTTTTTTTTTTTTTTTGGGGGGAGCTCTGGTGGCCTAGTGGCAAGAAGCTGCACTGCAATCCAAGAGGAGCACGGTTCAAATCCACCAGATGCTCTGCCGGAGAAGGAGGCGCAATATCCTCCTGTACCAGTCAGATCTGATATGACGGTACACGCACACAAAATAATAATAATAAAAAAAATAATAAAAAAAAAATTTTTTTTTTTGTGTGTGATTTTAACAAAAGTTTGCACAAAAACTGGATTTTTCATTTATTCATCATTGCACATTTTCCTCCCAACCCGCCCCCCCCAAGTCTGAGTCTTTTAAACAAATAAATATTCATTGTTATATAATCATCTGTTTTTTACGAATGAGAAACTGGAAGAAGGTTAATACTGGAAAGCACTTGTGTATATTTGGGGTCCTTTCATTATAAAGATTATTTATGAGAATTATAAAGGATCCTGAGAATATTGTTGTGTTTAGGTGCTGTTGGATTAGTTTTGACTTGTAGTGACCCTAAGCACAACATAGTGAAACCCTGGCTGTTCTCTGCTGTCCTCACAATCATTGCTTTATTTCAAGCCAGCTATTGTAGCCACTATGTCAGTCCTATGGAAGGTCTTCCACTTTGTTATTGACCTACCTGGCATCATGTTTTTCTCCAGGGACTGGATTCTCCTGATAACATGCCCAAAGTATGTAAGCTGGAATCTCACTTATCCTGCTTCCAAGGACCATTCTGACTATTTTCCAAGATAAATTTGTTCATTCTTTTGGCAGCCCATAGTATATTCATTATTCTTTGCCAACACCATAATTCAACTGCATCATTTCTCCACTTTTCCTTATTCTTGGTCCAACTTTCACATGTCAGTGATGTGATTAAAGATCACATGGCTTCGGAAAAGCACACCTTCATTTTCCAAGTGACAGCTTTACTTTTTGGTACTTTAAAGTGGAAGAGGTCTTTTGCAGAAGATTCGCTCAGTACACTATGTTACTTGTTTTTTTTCACTGTTTTCCATGGGTATTAACTGCAGTTCTAAATAAAATTACATGCTTTATAATGTCAATCTTGTCTTCATTTATTGGTCCAATTGAGAGGATTTTTGTTTTCTTTATGTTGACATGTAATCCATATAGAAGGCTGTTGATCATCATCTTTGTTTCAGTTCCCCTTTATTTAAGCAAACAAAGCTGTGCTATTTGTGAAACAAATTTTTAATGAGTCTTCCTCCATTCTTGATGTCTTTACTCATATGCCAGCTTCTCCAGTTATCTGGATCTGAGTCCTGTCCTATGCCATCATTATCATCTCTGACATGAGCCTATGGCTGTTAGTGAGTTTATGCCATTTCAAGTATCAGCCTTGCTCTCTGGTCTATTGGTCAAAGATCTGTATACGCATACGTCTTAAGCAGAGATTTCTCCAGGACTAATCCCAAACCGAAGGTAAGCTGTTTGCATTCACCAGATGCTCTATGGAAGGATGGGCAATCAGTCTATGATTTACTGCCTCTGAAAACACGCTAGAGAGTCCCTATGGGCCGGTTCCGACTCAACGATACACAGCACAACCTTGGTACAGCACAACAAACTTCATAGAGCTCCACCAGCTTAGTAGTAAGGAGTTGTGCTGTCAACCTAATTACAGTGGCTTAAATCCACTTGGAGGAGCAAGATGGCCAATTCCTCATAATGTGATTTACTGCTGAAAATCTGCTATAGATTTTGACTCAAAGATACAAAACAGCAATAGCCTTGGTTAGAACTCTTTTAAAGTTTTCATCATGTCTTTGACACTTGTACTAGCATATCCTGGTATCAGGGAACTCTGGCCATATCCAAAGAAATTTGTGTTGCTAACCCAGAGGTCCTGTCTCTGGAAGTTCAAACCCACCAGCTGCTCCAATGGAGAATTTACAGCTTGCAATTAATAGCTTCAGAAATTTAGTCGAGGGTCGCCTGGGACCCACCATTCCCATCCAGGCAGTTACTCAGCCGTGTAATTAAAGCATTGATACTATAAGGGCCTCTACTGCAACACTTTTATTAAAATGGTCATTATGTTATTTCCACTAAGCGGGAGGTGACTCAGCTGGCAGATGAGTGGAATGATGAGGTAATGTTAAACCCTTTGTCCTACCAAAATAATTTTAAACACTTGTTCTGTGCTTTTTGCTTAATTTAGGCTTTGCTTCCAAGCTCAAGGGGAACTACTCCAGCTATCTCAGCCTATGTTGTTGTTATGTGCTGTCGAGTAGCTTGTGACTCATAGCAACCCTATGTACAACAGCCCTAAACTCTGCTCTGTCCTGTGCCAATCTCACTGTCTCCGACACACCCATCCTGATTACCCCAGTCACTGAATCAGTCCACCTCATAGAGGGCCTTCCCCTCCTGTGCCTGCCCTCCACCCTCCCAAGCATGATGTCCTCCAAAGACTGGTCTCTCTTTAAAACATGACCAAAATATGTCAGATGAAGCCTCAGAATCCTTTCCTCCAAGGAGCAGCCTGGTTTAACCCTCTCAAAGATAAATCTGTTTTCTTAGCAGTCCATGGTACTCTCAATACTATTCTCCAGCACCATAGCTCAAAGGCATCAATTCTCCTATCCTCTCTAGTCATTGTCCAACTCTCTGATGCATAAGAAGTGATTGCAGAGACCATGGCCTGTATTGTTATGTGCTGTCGAGTCACATGCGACTCATAGTGACCCTATGTACAACAGCCCTAAACTCTGCTCTGTCCTGTGCCAATCGCATTGCCTCTGACATTCCCATCCTGATTACCCCAGTCACTGAATCAGTCCACCTCAAAAAGGGCCTACCCCTCCTGCGCTGTCCTGCCACCCTCCTAACCATGATGTCCCTCTCCAAGGACCGGTCTCTCCTTACATGTCCAAAGTATGTTAAGACAGAGCCTCAGAATCCTTGCCTTCAAGGAGTAGCCTGGTTTAACCCTCTCCAGGATGAATCTGCTTATTTTCCTAGCAGTCCATGGTATCCTCAATACTCTTCTCCAGTACCACAGCTCAAAGGCATCAATTCTTCTCCCTAGTCATTGTCCAACTCTCTGATGCATAACGTGGTGGTAAAGACCATGGCCTGTATCAGATGCACCTTAGTCTCCAGAGAGACACCATTGCTCTTCAGTACTTTGGAGAGGTCCCTAACAGCAGACTTTCCCATGGCAATACGTCTTTTAAAGAGTGTTGACTGTGGAGCCAGGTAAACTAAACCTGTGAACAATCTCAATCTCTTCACCATCCATGCTGATGCTATCAATTGGTTCAGTGGTGAGAATCTTTGTCTTGACATTGAGCCTCAGTCCATATTGGAGGCTACAGTCCTTAACCCTCTGCAGCAAGTATTTCAGGTCCTCCTCAGTTTCAGCAGTCAGGGTTGTGTCATCTGCATAACGCAGATTGTTGCTAGATCTTCCACCAATCTTGACTCCACATTTCTCCTCATAGAGCCCAGTCTCCCGGATAATCTGTTCTGCGTACAGGTTGGAAAGGTATGGAGACAGGACATATCCCTGGCGTATGCCCTTTCCAATTTTGAACCATGCAGTGTTTCCTTGCTCTGTTCCTACGACTGCCTCCTGGTCCAAGGATTGGCCTTTATTAGATACACCTTAGTCTCCAGATAGACACCATTGCTCTTCACTACTTTGGAGAGGTCCCTAACAGCAGACTTTCCTATCTCAGCCTATAGGCTGCAGTATTTCTTGGGTCAAGATATTATCTATGAAAGAGCAAAACTCTCTTGAACCTTTCAACAATTCATTGCCATCAAGTCGAATGAACTCATAGCTTCAGCTGGTTTTTTTAGGGCCTGTTAATTGCATGGTTTAACTGCTGGTCAGACTGATGGGGAACTCCAACGATTCTACAGTCATCATCCTGATTCCAAGTGGTCTGTCAGGTGAGGCATATGTGATGAGTTGCCATTTGTGGTTTTTTTTTTTAAAAAAAGGAATTTGCTATAAATAGATCATTGTGCACATTTCATCCTGTCTTCAGCTTCATTTCTTACTGCCAGTCTGCCTATGTTTTGAACTTTGGTGTTTCAGTCACCATTTATTAACAAAGCTTGATTGTATGTTTGACTGATTTTCAACTGCAGGAATTCTCACTGTCCTCATCTTTGACTTTAATTGCTGATACCTGTATTTTAATAATACTTGTATTAATGAGCTATACAAATATGCTGTCACAGCATTATTTTCAGGATGGATCTTTAAATGGGCTTTTGTGGAAAAGATCAATTACAATAACTCATCTGCCAATTCAAACTGGAGCACAATAAAATTAAAACAAGGCCACAGGAAACAAACTATGACCTTGAATCTATACCATCTGAATTTAAAAGCCATTTCAAGAACAGGTTTGAGGCATTTGAATACTAATGATTAAAGACCAGACAAGCTGTAGGATGACATCAAGGATAGCATCCAGGAAGGAAGCAAAAAGGTCATTACAAAGACAGCGGAGAAAGAAAAGACTAAAATGGATTTCAGTTAAGACTGAAAATTGCACTGTTGCCTGTTGTGTGCTGTGAGTTAGAACTAACTCATAGCTGACACTCTAGTGAGTTTTCAGAGAATGTAAATTGCACCGGAGGAGACTGCTACCAAGGAGCAGCTGGTGGATTCAAGTTGCGTGCCCTTGTGATTGCAGTGCAGCTTCTTACCCTTGGCCATAAGACCCTCCTGAAAATGTACTAGAATGTTGAAATGCCAAAACGGAAGAAAAGGTGAAGTAAAAGAGTTAAACTGAAGATTTCAAAGAACAGCTTGAGAAGACAAAGCAAAGTATTACAATGAAATGTGCAAAGAGATGGAATATGAAAAGGATAAACTTCCTTGGCATTCCTTAAGTTGAAAGGACTGAAGAACCAATTTAAGCCCTGAGTTGCAATACTGAAGAAAGATATGGGCAAAATCTTAAACGGTCCAGGAAGCATCAAAAGGAGATGGAAGGAATACACAGAGTTAATGTATCATAAAAGAACTGGCTAACATGGAACAGTTTCAGGAAGTACAATATGAAGAAGAACCAGTAGTGATAAAAGAAGTTCAAGCAGCACTAAAAGTATTAGCAAACATTAAGACCACAGGAATTGACGAAATATCAGTAAGCATGTTCCAATAAAAAGATGCATCCCTGGACATGTTCATCAGGCTGTGCCAAGAAATCTGGAAGACAGTCACCAGCCAACTGACTGAACGAGATCCAAATGTGTTCCCATTGCCAAAAACTGGTGATCCCATAGGATGTGGAAATTATCAAACAATGTCATTAATAAAACATGTAAGCAATCTTGCTGAAGATTATTAAAACCAGCTAGAATAGTGTCACCCCATGAGCCCCCACTATATACTCTGCATCCACTTCTCTCCTCCACTTCCTAAACAACATGCCTCTGAACTTGGGAGAAATGACAATAGTTATAGAAAAGCTTCAGGTCTTTTTTTCATAGGGTTGCTAAGAGTTGTGCTCAACTTGACGGCAAACGACAACAACAAAATAGTATCATTGGCAGAGAACTGCCAGAAATTCAAGCTGGATTTAGAAGAGTCCAGGGAACTGTTACTGATGTTAGATGGATCTTGACTCAAAGTAGAGGATAATAGGATGTCTTTACTGACTATTCAGAGGCATTTGTGCAGATCACAACAAATTATGACTAACAAGAAGAATGGGAATCCCAGAACACTTATGCTCATGTGAAACCTAGACCAAGAGGCACTTGTCTGGATGCAGTGAGAGAACACAGCATTGATTAAAATTAAAAATGTGCAGCAGGACTGTATCCTTTCTCCACACGTGTTCAATATTTATGCTGATCAAATCATTTGAGAAGCCGGACTGCGGCACCAGGATCAGATGAAGACCCATCAGTAACTTGTGTTATACAGATAACACAGTTTTGCAGAAAGGAGGACTTGAAAAGCTACATACACCCTTCAATATGGATTATATTTCAATATCAAGAAAACAAAAATCTTTACCATGAGAGATAGAGAAAAGATTAAAATTATCAGTAACTTCTTACTTGGACCCACAATCAATACTCATGGCAATAGCAGTCAAGAAACAAGACTGTGTATCGGGAAAATCTGACAGGGACCTCTTCAAAGTGCTGAGGAACTTAAAGGCTAAGGTGTGCCTTATCCAATCCATGATCTTTTTGATTACTTGCTATGCATCTAAAAGTTGGACAACGAATAAGGATGACAGAAGAATAGATACCTTTTAATTTCAGTGTTTGAGAAGAGTATCCCTTGAACAGACTGTCAAAAGAACAAGTAAGTCTGGGATAAAGTGCGACCAGTTTGCTCCTTGGAAGCCACAGTCGTGAAGTTTCATCTCACGTACTTTGGGCATGTTGTTAGAAGGGGCCGCTCCTTGGAGAAGGGTATCTTGCTTGGAGAGGAAGAGTCTGATGTAGGAGAGGTAGACCTTCAACAAGATGGGTTGACAAGATGACTCTAACAAGGACAATACGATAACTTACCAAGTAACTATCGGAGATGTGAAGAAGTCACAAGATTCGGTTCTGTTGTTCAGAGTCCTTTCGAGTTTCAGTCTATTTCCATGGCATATAACAAAATTGCAGGGAAGAAGACTACCAGGTTTTCTCGAGGACCAGCTGGTGGATTCAAACCACCTGTATTTGGGCCGCGCAAGCCCTTCACCAAGGCATTTCTCAGGCTGAAAGAGCGCACTGAGCCATCAGAACTCCCTATTTAACCCTTAGGATGAACCACGTGAAACTACCAAGTATTAGATGGACGTTCCAAGAACAAGTGGGACGCAGCTGAAGGTACGCGATTCTGGAGCAAATGGGAATGAATGTAGTTGGGCGGGAGGTACCAGCTTCTGCCTTCCAAGTCCTCCATGCCTCGGGCTCCAGCCTGGGGCCCCGCCCTTTCCAGGCGGCCTCGCTCGACCCCGCCCCCTTCGCTGCTGCCGTAAAGCGTAGCTCCCTGAGGTGTTGCCGCCCCTTCCGCGCAGTTTGTGACGCCAGGCGTTCTGGGTTTTTTGCGCGGGAAATCGAAGCCGTTTCGGCCTGTGGTTATATTCCTGGGAGCCGGACTTTTCGTGGAAGCCGCCGCCTGCCGCCTCCACTTGCGTGCCAGGCATGGGCCTCCAAGAGCTGTGCGAGGAAGTGTTTGGCACCGCCGACCTTTACCGGGTGCTAGGCGTCAGGCGCGAGGCCTCCGATGGCGAGGTCCGACGTGGCTACCACCGGGTGTCCCTGCAGGTGCACCCGGATCGAGTGGGGGACGGTGACAAGGAGGACGCCACCCGCCGCTTCCAGGTGCGTCCGACCCCTGCTGGCCGACCCTCGACCCCCGCTGACCGATCCCCCTCCTCCGCTGGCTGGCCTCCGACCCTCGACTCCCACTGGCGGGGCGCTGACGCCGTCCCCGCTGCCCCTGGGCCCCGGTGCGCTTTGGCTGGCCCTCGGCCCTGGCCCCCGTGCACAGTGGCCGCCCTTCGGCCCCGGAGCGCTGTGGCCGGCCGGCCTGGGCGCCGCGTCTGCGGCTGTTGCGGGGTGACCTGGCGCTCTATCCCCACAGATCCTCGGGAAAGTCTATTCGGTTCTTAGTGACAGAGAGCAGCGAGCTGTGTACGACGAGCAGGGCGTGGTGGACGAGGACTCGGCGGCGCTCAGCCAGGACCGGGACTGGGAGGCGTACTGGAGGCTGCTCTTTAAGAAGGTGGGAGCGGCCACGGGCTGCTGCGCAGGCCGCGTTCATTCTGCAAAGGACTGTTGAATGTCCCTCAGCTTCAGACCTTTTTGTGAATTCTGTAGGAATGAAGAGTTTGACCGCAGGAAAAGTGTACCATCCTTTAAAAGGTCCTTCGTTTTCTTTTGATGATGGTTGCATTGAAAAAAATGGTTTTCTTTTGTGAAAAGGGGGGAAGTTTTTTTTAACGGGATGTACTTTATCTTAGTAAAATTTGTCCTAAATGTTTTCTGTTCTTACGTATGGAGAGCATCGTTTAAAATTTCTTGTAGAGGTTTCAAAATTTGAGGCGAGAGAATCCTAGAAAGTTCTAGTTGTTTCCTTGCAAAAATTACAACCCAAACGTTTGAGGAGGAACATTTGAATACATGAATTGTCTCTGATGTTACCCATTCTTTACATTTAAAAGAAAATCTGCAAAGTTAGAGCTTAGCTCTTTATTTGTTCAGATCTCTCTAGAGGACATCCAGACTTTTGAAAAGACATACAAAGGTTCTGAAGAAGAGCTGGCAGATGTGAAGCAGGCCTACCTGGACTTCCAGGGTGACATGGATCAGATCATGGAGTCAGTGCTGTGTGTGCAGTACACGGAGGAACCCAGAATAAGAAACATTATTCAGGAAGCCATTGATGCCGGAGAAGTCCCAGCCTATAAGGCCTTTGTCAAAGAATCAAAGCAGAAGAAGAATGCAAGGAAACGGAGGGTGAGCTTTTGAATGCTGTTTATTATATCTTGCTTGTTTCTGACAAGAATTTGAAGATCTTGACAGTGACAACCCTCTGGTTGCAAACATCTGGCTTATGGCAATTTGTATTTCTGAACTAAAACCAGTGGTGCTCCACCCCCATATTAAAATTTTGAGGGCTGTGCCATAGTTTGTAATAGCATTTTGGAGCACTTTGCAATATGCATCATGGCATCACTGTCACAACATTAATATTACAGAGTTAAAGACGTTTTTACAGTATTTGCCTAACTGGTGTTATATAGGGAATCCTCATGGCCTCCTTAGAAGGAGTTGCTCTGCCAACCCCAAAGCAGGCATTTCTGATCCACCAGCTGTTCTGTGAGAAAGATGAGTCATCTCCCCTATGATTTACAACCTCTGAAAAATCCAGTGTTGGGTCAGTTTTATGTAAGAGACTAGAACTGCCGGTTGGGGTTTGTTTCTTGGCTGGAATCTCTGGGAACAGATCACTCGGCCATTACTTTGGCTCAGTGGCTCAAAGGAACTACTGACCTTTTATAGTTGGCAGCTGAGTACTGTACCACCAGAGCTCCTTAACTTGATTGTTCTCATCTAATAAAGTGAGCATGCCAGTTCATCTAGAGAAACTATTTTTCTAGTACATTGTGCTCAAGATTTTATTGTATGGATTGTTCCGTTATCTTAAAGTGACATCGAAGAGGTTCTTCATTAGGGGCCCAGTCCTGTGACTGCAGAGGCATTTCTCAGGAGACAATAATGGAAGCACAGAGGCTAGGCAGCAGTCCCTACAGAAGGTCAAGAGGGTGGCAGAGCCCGTGTTTTATTAAATTATAGATTCTTGGATCTAGAGTGTGTGTGTGTGTGTGTCCCCGTGTCCCCGTCCGTCCGTCCAGCTCTGGTGGGCTGGTGGTGAGAATCTGTGCTGCAGTCCTGAAGGCACAGTTTGTGAATCCTCCAGCTGCACTGTGGGAAGATAGGGAATCTCCTCCCATGTGATTAATTGCCTCTGAAAACCTGTTGGAAGGTCAGCTATGGGTCAGTTCCAACTCGATGGTACATAAGGTGTGTGTTTATTCTCAATGATCATTTATTCTGCTGGTGTCTTTTCCAATCACACTCTGAAACATATTTATGAAGAATTGAGAATTATGGCTGCGTGTCCTTTATTCCTGTGGAGCTGCTGTGGGTAAATGGTGGTGTCAGAAGAAAGATAAAATCTGGTGGGGTTCCAGGAGGGAGTGGAGCCAGTGGAGCAAATGTTCATGACACTGATGTTTTGGGAAGCAGTGCCTTGCACCAATGTTGAAGTAATTGCTTTGAACTGGTTTTGGTGGTAGAAGCTCCATGAAGAATAGGATTTTAGATCTTAAGTAGGTATTTGACATGCCTTTGTTTTGTGTGGGTGAACAGAGTGGAAATTTTGTAGCTTTTGGAGAGATGATTACGCATTATGTTGAAGCTGAAATTTGAGGGAGGGGAGGCAGAGTGTGAAAATGTTAATGTTTGCCTGTCCGACGATAAGGGTCAGTGTCCCTATTATTTCTTTATTGGGGATCTTTAAAGAAATGTGGAATGTATATGAAGGTCATCATTTTGGCTTAAAGGCTAAATCTACTTGGACTCAAAATGACAGTTTAATTATTTCCCAAGGTGAAACAGAGCCTAGTTGTATTGAGTAACAGGGTATTAACTTGAGAAACTAGCCTCAATATTTTGTGGGGTAAAGAGCATAGCTTTTCCCCTCCACCAAACTTGGAAATTTAAGGGAGTTAGGATGTGAGGATTTAGGACATTTACAGACTGGTAAGTGAAAGGTGGAAACTGTTTTCATTGGGTTAACAAAGGCAGCTTCATAACATCACTCCCAGTGTTAGTAGTATGGACTGCTTCTTCCCAAAGTGTTTTTATGGTATTTTGGATATAGTTATCCTAGGAAAATTTGGTATAAGAAAGTTTCTTTGAAATCAGGTGAAGAAATAATAAAATAAGGCAAGGATTATGAAGCTTCGTCTGGCATACTTTGGACATGTTGCAAGGAGGGACCAATCCTTGGAGAGGGACATCATTCTTGGGAGGGTGGAGGGACAGTGCAGGCAAGAGAGGAAGACCCTCAATGAGGTAGATTGATTTCGTGACTAGGGTGATGGGGGTAGGTGTGTCAGAGACAGTGAGATTGGCACAGAATAGAGCAGGGTTTAGGGCTGTTGTACATTACATAGGGTTGTTGTGAGTTGCAGGTGACTTGACGACACATAACAATAACAAGCTTGCTAATGTTTCTTCTGACTACTTGGAAGACATCCTTTAAACCAGGATGTGCTCAGGGCTGCCACCAGTCACCCAGGTAACCAAGTACAGAGGGATCTGAGGTGCCTGCGTGCTGGCAGCATTTCCCACAGTGTTTTTGGGGAAGTGGCCTTTCCTAAGCAATCTTAGCATTTTGTTTTCCTTTTTTAACACAATGTGGTTTATGGATATTGCAGTTATGGATATTGCAAATAGAAATGGGAAAGCTTAGTTTAAGCTAATTAGAACCAGTAGACCAATTTTTTGCTTTTAGCAGTTAATTTTAATGATTACTTATATAATTTTACTCTTTTTATCGATTCATTTAATCCCAAAATTGAAAGGGCTTCACTCTTACCCATAAGTTTGCTTTTGGGGAAGAATAGATTTTAATCATACTAGGTTTCTGTGGATGTCTTACATGAATTTGTGTTTAGGCTCAGGAGGAGGCTAAAGAAGCAGAAATGAGCAGGAAGGAGCTGGGACTTGATGAAGGGGTAGATAATTTGAAGATGGCCATCCAGGTAAGTGTGTATCTCATTGGGGTGGTTGTGAAGGATGCCACTTTCTTTCATGGTCTGATTGCCAATGCGCCCAAGTTTTCTTCACTCTGTGTTTTTGTATGTCAGTTTGTAGATTTTTTGTATTCACTCTTTTAAAGTATATAATTAACTGAGTTTTAGTATCCTGAACATTTTCATCACTCTAAAGAACCCCTGTACCTGTTAGCAATCTCCATTCTCCTCTGTCTATGGTAACTACTTTATAAAGACTGTTAGTTTGAAAGCTTATGTTTTAATTTTCCAAACAGAGCAGACAAAAGGATCGACAAAAGGAAATGGACAATTTTCTGGCTCAGATGGAAACAAAGTACTGCAAACCTTCCAAAGGAGGAGGTAAAAAACCATCTCTCAAGAAAGGCAAGAAATAGTGGGATAGTCTTCAAAGACCCTTACAACTTAATTGGTACCTGTAGACAAGGTGCAGTCAAGATTTGGAGACACCAGTCAACCCTAAAGAACTTGTTTCAGCCTGAAATTTTAAGATCAACTGTGTGAACCATCAGACCCTTTCATCTTGATCTAAGTTTGGTCCTCACATAAGGGACTTGGTGGTGGTGGTGGTGGATGGAGAGCAGGGAGGTTGGTATACTTGCTCACAGCACTTGTTCAGTGGACCTTCTATAAATGGAACTGTCTAGATGTGGTTTTGTCCATGCGGCTTTTATTGTCAGTTAGCATTTAGAGTGAACTGCAGAACATTTAGTGATGGACATTATTTGTTAGAAAAGGGCTGTTTACCTGGGACTCCTTCAGACATGAATACCGTGACTATCTTAAATGGAGTAGTCTCCTTTCTTTTATTCAGACAGATTCTATATACTTGAAGTATAATAGGAGACAGGTGTTCAAATTACTTCAGACATTTTTTTAAGACTTGAATATAATTAAATAAAGTGAAAACTACTCAGTGATTTGAGAGCTTTTAAAATTATCTCCATGATTCTTCAAAATATGATATGGAAACCCTACCAGTGGGGTTTAGGTTAGAGAAAGAGAAGTGGTATCATTCAGTGTTCTAATTAGACAACCTAGTTTAAGACACATGATGTAAGCTTGTGTGTATTCATTAGAATACACAGAATCAACTTTTATGACTGTCCTACTTAAAATCTCCTACTTGTAGATGATTATATTCAATACCATATATATAAAACAAGCCTTCCCTTACAGTATCAAGCTTTATATAACATGATTTATCTGAGGAAAGCACATGACACATTTTCAGTTTCAAATTACAAAAAGGTTTAAAAAAATACTCTTTTAATTAAAAGTATAATTTAATGCAGACAGTTCGAAGCATGTCTTTTCCTCTGGTGGCATTAGAACATTGTGAAATAAAAATTTATGATCACTTGAATTATCCACTGAAGATAAACAAGATCTAAAACTTGTATAGAAATCAAAATCAGTATTAAATATTTTTACAGATTTGAGCCATACTTGAAATTGCTGCCACATTCATCAGTGTAGTCAAGATTCCCATGGTGACACCGGAGTTTTGGACTTTGCTACTCTTACATCAAAAGCCATTTCTAAATTTTTTGTATTTTATACTTATATATTCATACTGAGCTCATTACCAGGGTTTCTTGAATTGTTCAGAATTGCACTTCATTGGTGGCTCATGAACTACATTTAAGTTGACCTTCCTAGTCCTGCAGGAGGAAATTTGGCAAGATGACTATAATATCCGGAAAAAATACAACCAGTAAGGTGCTTTAGGTAGAAAGGAAGAGCAGAGCCTGATAACAAGCAGGCAGTGTGAGGATGAACTATCCTGTCTGAAAAGAGTAAATGTTAAATTACTTAACACTGTTGCTCAACATGACTGTCTTTGGTTTATTCCTTCCCATGACTGTCTTTGGTTTATTCCTTCCCATACCTGTAGTAGGACTGGACATCTAGAGAAACTTAAGAAATGACATCTACTGGACAAGTAGCCCAGACTTTTTATAGCACTATATCATAAGATAAAACTGTATAGTGCTTCAGAAGTTAATAGAAACAGATGTTCAGAAGCCAATGATAACTATGTTATTAAACATTTACTGTTTTTTATGTATTTATAGTCTCATAGAATCCTGTATTAATTGAATGGGTAGTCATTGTTAACATAACATGAGATGTGATTTGGGGTGAATCATTCACTGTTGAATCCTGAGGTACAAACTTTCCTGTCCAGTGAAGTGGGTTTACATAAAGAAGACAGTTCTGGAAACACAAACACCACCCATAGTCTTTGGAGGAAACTCTCTTCTCAGCTGAACCACAGACTTCATGAAGATGGTTTCAAGTTGGCTTTTCTCTACAAGCACTGCACGGAACGATGGCAAAATGGGTCCATTAGATGCCAAGTTCTCATTTGCCCTAGGGTCCTTGCCTGGTTTTAGAGATTAGTCCACCTCTGCTTTGAGATTTTGTAGACCCAAGTATCTGAGAACCTGTCAGAAAAAAGATACCACAGATATCAGTAATGTCAGTGTTTCATCTAAAGGTTTTCAAAGTATAATCAGACATTAATTGGGAGACTGGGAAAAGTTGTATATATTGACCAAGGCAATAAAAAACATGCATTACGTCTTTAATCAGTCATACAAGTAATATTTTCCCAAGAGGAGTGATCTGAAAAACAAGCATTCAAAGATGACCCAACATTTGCCACTTGGAATGGAATTAAGAGTTCATGTGCTTGGTGGTTGGTTAATCTTGTGACTGGTAAAAATGTCAACTGCCCAGTACTATTTATTAAACAGATTAATGTTCAAATATCTCTTGATTAGAACCAGATTGATCAGTCTTGCTAATATATCATGTAATAGCATATTTCAGATATATCTTAGTTTTGGGGCAATATTAAATCTATATAGTTCATTTTTTTTTCAGGTTTTTTGGTTTGTTTTAATTTTTTATCTTAATGAAAGTTTACAGACTTTGGATTTCCAGTCATTCATTGTTGCACATTTTCATCCCTGCCCATACACTCCCCCTAGTTCACTTTTTTCTTTGAAAAGAAAAAAAAAAATTTTGTTACATTGTTATACAATCCCCCCCCCCCCCCACTCCAGTCCACTACACTATGTGGCTTTCTTTCTGGACTCTTGTCATGACAATAATACCTAATCATATATTCCTTTTAAACAGTTTTCTCCCTCATTTGGTTTTTTAAAATTACTTTTAATGAAAATTTACAGAGACTTTAGATTTCCATTCATTCATTGTTGCACTTTTCTCCCTGCCCACCTTTCCCCACCCCAGTACATTCTTCTTTTTGAAAAGTAAAGGAAAAATTTTCATTTTTTTATAATCCCCTCCCCAGGTCCACTCCACTATGCAGCCTTCATTCTGGACTCCTGTTATGACAATAATACCTAATCACCTATCCCTTTTAAACCGTTTTCTCATTTGTTTCAATGCAGTATACATTATTTATCCTATCTTTCTCAGTCTCCCCCCAACCCCGATGTCAGTCCTGTTTTACAACTGTGGCACTATGCAGTATTTGTCCATTTGTAACTGAGATACTTCACTCAGCATAATGTCTTCCAGGGTCACCCATTTTGAATAATACTGCATGAATTCCTTGTTTTTCAATGAAGTATAGTATTTCATGTGTGAATATACCACAGCTTCTCTATTCATTTGTTGATGGGCACTTAGGTGTTTCAACTCCTTGCTATTGTGAACAAAGCCATGATAAACATGGGTGTGCATATATCTGCTTGGGTGGCAGTTATGGTCTCTTTGGGGTATAGTCCCAGTAGTGGAATTGCGGGTCAAATGGTATCTCTATTTGCAACTTTTTGAGAAAGTGGCATACCACCTTCCACAGTGGTTGCACCATTTTATACTCCCACAAACAGTGAAAAAGGGTTCTGGTTTCTCTACAACCTTGCCAGCATTTGTTGCTTGCTGTTCGTTAAATTTTGCTATTTTTTTAAAAATTTATGTTATTTTCGTGTGTGTGTGTGTGTGTGTGTGTGTGTGCGCGCACTGTCAAATCAGATCTGACTGGTACAGGAGATTGCCCCTTCTTCTCCAGCAAAGCATCTGGTGAATTTGAACTGTGCACCTTCAGGATTGCATTGCAGCTTCTTGCCACTAGGCTACCAGAGCTCCCTAAATTTTGCTATTCTTACTGGGGTGAGATGATAATCTCATAGTTGTTTGCCCAGTACTTCTAAATTTCACTTAGAGTATAAGAAAAAGGCCACCATGGGAAGACTTAATTCTCTCAAATACATTGCCATCAGGGTGGGACAGACAGCTGACCCTCCATTGGCCTTTCAGAGACTGTAAATAAATCACATGGGCGGAGACTGCCCATCTTTCCCCTGAAGATCCACTAGTGGATTTGAACTGCCACAGACATCAGCTCGGGGTTAATACACCAGAGGTCCCTGGGAAGACGTCCCTGAAATTTTCTCTTTCCCATTCTTTGTCAATAGAATTTATAGAGTAAAATCTAGAGAATAAAAGCATTAATGAAGTAGAATCACATTCGGTAGTATATCTGTTGTTAGGTGCCCAGAGTCCACCACAACTCATGGCCCTAAGGACAGCAGATGTGGATTTGTCCTGTCCTGGGCCATCCTCATGATCTGATAGGCTTGGGCCCCCTGTCCGGCTAGCTCATTGAGGATCTTCTCCACCTTTCCTAGTTGGATGTCTCCAAGGACTAGCCCCTCCTGACAACATGCCCAATGCTTGTAAGAAGCAGCTTCCATCCTTGTCTCTAAGAAGCACATTTGGTTGCATTTCCTCCAAGACAGATGTGTTGAGTACGGTATATATTTCTCACATTTGACTAATAAGATTTTAATCCAAGGCTCATCCTCCATCCTTCGATTCACAGGACGCGTCAGAGTTCCGCATCCGCCAATCAGAAATGTCCATGTGCTACTGAGGGCGGGGCTGCCAGGAAAGGAGGAAGATGGCAGCGGGGGCGAGGCATTTTCAAAAGGAGTAATTCCAGATTAATGGATGAAATTTTAAAACAACAAGAACTTCTGGGCTTAGATTGTTCCAAATACTCACCAGAGTTTTCAAATAGCAATGACAAAGATGATCAAGTTTTAAATTGCCAATCAGCAGTGAAGGTGCTGTCTCCAAAAGATGGAAAAGCAGATATTGTTAGAGCTGCACAGGACTTTTGCCAGTTAGTAGCCCAGCAGCAAAAGCGATCTACAGATTTGGATGTAACTATGTTAGACAGTTTACTTAGTTCAGATGGTTTCCCTGATCCTGATTTAGTACTGAAGTTGGGTCCTGTGGACAGCACATTAGGTTTTCTTCCCTGGCACATCAGATTGACAGATTGTCTCTTTGCCTTCCTACCTAAACATCAGTTACGAGGACTTTTTCTCTGCTCTTCGTCAGTATGCAGCCTGCGAACAGCGTCTGGGAAAGTAGTGATCCCTGGTTGCATAATTCGATTTCAGGCTTTTGGAGAAAAGGACCCAAATGACTTTGATGTTTACAAAGCACCTATGAAACCCTGTACACACTCAGTTCATAATCCTCATAATTTATCAACAAAGTGTCTTACTTGAGAGTGTGTGCGCGTGAGTGTGTGTGCTTATGTACACGCATGTGTACATATGAAAATAAACTTATGAGGGAAGTGTTGGAGAAGGAAGTACATAGACCTGCAACTTCAGACAAATAGCAGTAATATTTCGGATTTGAAATTTCACACTTGAAGGCTTTAGCCCCAGTTACTTCCCTGTTTTTGTGGGGAGAGGTTGGGGTAATTAGTGCTCTTGGTGGTTTTAAGGGGAAGGGAATTTTTGTTGTCTTTCCTAGTGACCAAACTTTTAATTTTTAAGAGTAATATCTTGACTTTATTGAGAGCATAAAGAGTATGACGAGTATGCTCGAGGAGATGAGTTCTCTGTTTGTCGTATGTTAAAACCTTGCAGATCTTTGGAGCAGAGGCAATACCTGTCTTCAGATATCCGTCCGTTTTCATTTCTTGTGACTTGAGAGTGCTGCTCTGGTGTCTATAGAAGGGTTGTGAAGAGTGGTCTTATTACACTACAATGCTTAATTTTAAGACTAATAATAACTGGAATAATGAATTTGGCTGCCAAAAATAAAAAAGGATAAAGAGCTATAGTTTTAAAAGTAAAGGTGAAAATTTTGCTAAAATGGAAATGACAGTTTTTATTTCCTTCTGCACTGGTGGGCAGTGTGCTAGCTACAGCCCAGACATGATTTAAAAATTACTTTGGTTGAGACTTTTTATTTTAAAGTAGCATCTGATGGAAGTTATCAAGGCAGCTTTTTTCCTCAAAAAGAGTTCTTCTTCGGAACAGCACATTTGGGGCTATAGTAGTACTTAGGATTTTTATTAAGTAAATCCTGATGATGACTTAGCATAAAAATTCCTTAAATAAGATTGAGGCTTGTTGTGCACAGAGTGAAATATTACCGAAGTCTACAAAATAATTTAATTTTACATGTTCTCTTTTGTGGTAGAGGACAACTCTGTTTTTATTATTTTTTAAATCAAATGATTTCTTGATAGGTGTGTCTTCCCCTATTGCTGATCCTCGAGCAGTAACTCATTTTTATATTTGTTGGACTATTTTAAGAAAACCTTATTAGCAAGTGTACAGTAGTTGTAAACTTGTATACTTCAAATGCAATCGTATACTTCAAATGCAATCATTTAAATTCTAGGTCTCAGAAGTCTGCAGAATAGCAAAGAAAATGGATTTGGAAAGTGTGATTGGAATCTTGTCAAATTCTACAATTAAAAGAAATAAGTGTATTTTGATTTTTTTATTACAAAATACACTTGAAATAAAAACTATTAAAATAAAAAATATTTTAATCCATAGTATGTCGTATTTTGCCTAAATATACGTCATGCTCCATTTTTTTAAGACTATTTTGAATGCTAGGAAAATAACTCCTCTGGCTTAGTTTGGCTTAGAAAACAGTCTATTTGCTTTGTTAGAATGATGGGAAATAAATTTGAATAGTATGAGAAAAGTTATTTGAAACTATAGCTCTGAGCAGTAGCCATCTTTTACTTCTATCTTTCAAAATGAATGAGAGAGTTTACAAAGGCACAGGAAATGAGGAAAGAAACCCGGAAGGGGGAAAGGCAGAGCCAGATTCTCAGCATTTCCAAACTACATGAGGTCACGTACCCACAGACCCAGGCTGCGGCTGATCAGGATACTCAATGGTGCGTGAGCGGTGACCCTGTGTGTCCCGCTGAAAAGAAAAGATGACTTAACAATCTGAACCTTCCCCAAAGCAGATACTTTAAAAACTATTACAAAAACAATGTAGCTGAACTTTGTAAATAAACCAGTATAAAACAATGCAAAACAAAACTATATACAAAGAAAAACCTTGAAATTGAGTAATCACGTAAAAGCAAGCGTTATCTGCCTGCCTCAGGGACAGGCTGGCCTGAAGCACTGTCAAATTATAGCTAACCCAGAGGCCTGCGGCACCGTGTGTTAAACTGTAAAAGTAGCAAATTCTACAGTTTCACTAATAAGACTTTAAAAAAAAAAATCTTAGTATTTCTAGGTAATCCAGGTGGTTTAATATTGCACTTGGCTTCCAAAAGCTTCACCTAATAACTCTTACTGTCTTCTAACTGACTAATAGAAAGGGACTTTTTAACAATATTCAAACCCACGACTTTTAGATTTCTATTTACTCTGTTAACCTTTATGAAATGCTTCTATTTGAAAATTACCTCACAGCATTGAAAAATGTGAAGATATATGATTATGTTGTTGTTTTGTTGTTGATTATAATCTTGAAAATATTTTTTTAAAAAGAATTTTAAGCACTATCCTTCTGAAGCTTCCAGACTTAATTAAAAAACAAAACCCTCTTAGATACCTGTGAAAGCACAGGAATCAGAATATTTAAAAATGTTTTCTGGTGATGCTACACATTTCAGTCAGAGGTCAGCAGTCCGACTTTCTATGAAGGGCCAGTCACTGTTGCCTCTACCCAACACTGCTATTGTGCAAAAGTGCCACTGAGAGAGTTCCTGCCACTGAGAGAGTTCCTCGGCCCAGCAGTGCCCAGCCACCGGCACTGCATTTTGATAAGGTTGAGGAGGTTCACTCTAAATTTCAGCTTCTGAATGCCGACATCAACAAACACGATGCCTCCTACATCCTGAAACTTGCTAACAGGTTATGTAGAGAGATCTATCTCTTCCTCTTTGATTTCTTGGCATCAACTCAGAAAAAACTACAGGGCTAACTTGGCCAGTATTGATTCCCAGCATGCCTCTGAGGAGGCAAGGAAGGAGATAAACCAGTGGGTTAAAGACCAGACAGAAGGGAAAATTTCAGAACTGTTGGTTTTAGGTGTGATTAACAGTATGACTAAAAAAAAAAAAAAAAAAAAAAAAACAACAGTATGACTAAGCTTGTGCTAGAGGGTGCCATCTATTTCAAGGGGAACTGGGAGGAAAAATTTCAGAAAGAGGCCACCACTGATGCTCTATTCAGGCTGAAAAAGACACAAAAATGGTGAACTAATGTATCCGGGGTCTGAAGTGCCATGTACTGGAACTGCCCTACCAAGGCAATGACCATGGTCATCCTGCTGCCAGATGAAATTGAAGATGACTTCACAGGCCTGAAGACTGAGGAACAGTTGACTCTGGAAAAACTGAATGAGTGGATCAAACCTGAGAATCTGGAGGTCACTGAAGTCAACCTCAGCTTGCCTAGGTTTAGGCTTGACGAGCGCTACCACCTCAGTTCCCACCTGGCCCACCTGGGTGTGCAGGATATCTTTAATCGCAGTAAAGCTGATCTGTCTGGTTTATCAGGAAACAGATTTTATTAAACATTACTCATAAAGCTTTTGTAGAAGTGAATGAGGAGAGTACAGAGGCTGCAGCCACCACAGCAGCTATTGCAACCTTCTTCATGCTAATGCCAGAGGGCAATTTCACTGCCAACCGTCCATTCCTTTTCTTTATCCAACACAAGCCCGCAAGGAGCATCCTGTTTTTTGGCTGAGTTGCTTCTCCTTAGAGATTGTGGAAACAAAAGATCAGGCCTGGAGCCTTATAACCTGAGCTTTTAATGGTAAGTATTTTTATCAATAAAATTATTCCCCAGAAACGTTTTTATAAGTGCAACCCTTATGATGAATATTGTTATGTGTTTCCATTTTCACAAGAAAAAAAACTCAGTGGTTTTTATGTTTGAATACATTCAGTCAAAAAGAAATAGAAACAGGGAGCTCTAGTGGCTTAGTGGCCAGAAGCTTCACTGCAATTCCAAAGGCATGTGGTTCGAATCCACCAGATGCTCTGCTGAAGGAGGCGGGGAAATCTTGTGTCAGTCAGATCTGATTCGATGATACACAAGGAAAATAAAAAATAAAATTTTAAAAAATATAAATGAGTCAGATTCTTTTCAGACAGCCATGAGAGGGTATGACAGTGTGATAGTTTCCTTTATGGATAGAATTTGGATAGGCTTAAAAAGAGATACAATAAATGAATGGAAATCCAAAATCTATGTAAATGTTCATTAAAATTAAAAACAAAAAGGTAACCATTAAAAAAAAAAAAAGGATAATCAATTGAAATGTAGAAAAGCACCCAAATGGAAGGTCTATATTATGAAGGAAATCTTATTTGGCCAATATTTCTTTCACTTTGTTCTGCAGAATAATTATTCTCCTGTATCTCTCTCTTTTTTAATATTTTATTTAGAATTATTTATTTTTATTATATGGTTAAATTTTTTTATCTCTTTTTAAAAAATATTATTTTACTGTGTTTTTGGTGAAAGTTTACATAGCTCTTTAGGTTCTCATTCAGAAGTTTCTAGGTAAGATGCTCTGTGACATTCGCTATATTCTTTATAATATGTTAGCATTTCCAATTTTCTTATTATGTCCTGATGATTATTCCATTTTCATTAGTCTGCTTTCTCACTTTTTAAAAATCAGTGGGTTTTTAAAAGAAATTGTGATTTAATGAAAGTTTAAAGAAAGGATGGATTTTCATTTGTTCACTGATACATATTTTTCTCCCTCCCCTTCCCACAATTCACTTTGTCATGCATATCTTGTTCCAGATTGTTAGTTGTCATTTGTCATACATATAATGTCTAATCATACATTCCTTTCAGATTGGCCTTCCCTTCTCCTCTTCCAGTGTAGTATTTCTCGTCTGTCCATTCTTTTCCTGCTCTCCCCTCCCATGTCCATCCTGTTTTTCTAATAGTGGTGTTTTACAGTATTTGTCCTTTTGTGATTGAGACATTTCACTAAGCATATCTTCCAGACTCATCCATGTTCTGTAGTGTTCTACAAGCTTACTGTTTCACAGTGTTGCATAATAATCCATTGTGTGGATGTACTAGTTTTTCTATCCATTTGTATGTTGATGTAAAAGTAACTGTTGACTGGTTATATCCTACTATTTTCTAAACTATTAAAAGGCTACTTAGTAAAAAGTTGTAATCTCTTCTTTTTCTTTATTTACTGTACCTGATATATAGAGTTTTTGTGGGATCAAGTGTAGTCAAGTAGTCAAGATCTTTTCATGATATAAGATCACTATTATGAGAAGCTAAGGATAGGTTTACACAGAGAGAATTCATTTTGGAGAGTTAACATGCATAAGAAAAGAGGGAGAGAAGTTAATAGATAAGTTGTGTAAGGCAAAAGATAATACACAATAAGGGCTTGATTAAACACTAAATGAATTATGCTAATAAACGTTAATGTTTAATTATGTCTAATATAATGGTGATGAAAACAACATGTATATGAATGATTGTATGAAAAACCAATATGTAAATCTTCATTCAAATAAAATAAGAGACAAAAAAACCCCAAAACAACAAACAAAAAACAGCCACCAAGAGTGTAAAATGGTGAATACACTATGGAAAGTGTTTTAGTGCTTTATTAGGAATACCATCTGATCCAGAAGTTTCAGTGCTAGGTACTATCCCAGAGGAGTCAAAGCTGCAACACCAACTGACATACACTGATGTTTGCTGCAACACTGTTACCAGAACAAAGGGGTGAAAACAACCCACATGTCTACCAATGCACAAATGACTAAAGAAATCTTGGTACAACTATTACACAAAGCTAAAGGAAGGTTTACATACAGAATTCATTCTGTGGTTACCAGGGAGGGTAAGGAAGGCAGGAGTAGAAAATTAACATAATAAGCACTTCTTACTTTGAGGCATGTTGCTTACAGATTACACAGAGGTGGAAAGAATATTGTCACAAACCCTAAATGAGCAATCTCTATGGATTAATAATGATCATGCTAAATTACTATTAATATTAATTTTAAAAATACAATATAAAAGGATACACTAATTGGAATTTTGCAACAGAGCTAAACAATTCTTCCTGCCCGATCTCTGTAAGTCTTTTAGAAACACTAAATACAGTCCTTGCGTTCTCATGTACTTTTGACGTTGCAACTGATTTTTAATATACTGAAACTTACTTTACAGATAAACGAGCCTGGTTTTCATAAAGAAGTAAATAAGTGTTGTCTGTAATTATTAAAAATTAGAAGTTAGAGGAAACTGGTACATTAAAATGGTGGAGTATTATCAGTTATTAAAAAATGATGAAAGGAGTTCATTAAATACAACATGGGTGAAACTAGAACAAATTATGTTTGACATACATCAGTCACAAAAAAAGACCACTATTATATAAAAATTTAAGGAAAGGTTCAAATACAGATTGAAATAGTTTAAAGAGTTTGGAAGGGAAGGGAGAGGGGAGTAAAAATGATCAAGTTGGGTAAAGGAAAAGCAGTGTAAGATAAGGACTTGATCAGACATAATTAGATTAGTAGTAATAAATAATACAAAATGTGTATGAATGAAAAACCAATATGATTCATGAACTTTCACTTTAAAAAAACAACAACAACAAACCAGCTGCAGATAGTATGAAAAATGAGTGTGACTAATGCCATTAACATTCACAACAGAAATGTGGCCATTTTCCAATAAAACTTTACTTCTAGGGACAGGCAGTTCTAAGACCTGTCAGTCAGTGAGCTGTAGTTTGCAGACCCTTCTAGGTAAGAACACAGAGCAGGCTGCTGGTGCGGTGGTGCAGGATTCAGACCTTACTATGGAGATCATTTGTGACTTTGAATAGCTCCCTTCTGATGTCAGAAAAGTGGAAGAGTCGTGGCTAAAATAATTTTGACTTTTTTTTTTACTGTTAAAAACATCTGAAGCAGTAAAAAAAAAACCACCCTGAAATGTTTACTCTAATTCAGTTTTGTTTATAATGCAACCAAAAACTAAGGTCTTTTCTAAGAACAAATGCCTGTAGCATAGAATATACTGATAAGCAGCACTGTTTTAACAAATGTTCTAGGTTACATTATCATAATGCCTTCAATAGATTCTCTTTCTGGAATACACACTTTATAAGAATCAGAAATGCTCCCATTTGTCTTATGAGGTCTCATTCATTTATTATTCTCACCACTCTCCTCATGGGGGATTCTTGGGCTGGTGTGTGATGTGAAGTCCTGATTCCTAGATCTAAATGTGACCCTTCCACTTCCCCAAGCCCTGCTGTGGATGAAGTGGACTGAGCTCCGGGCCATCAGAGAGGCAAGAACCATATTCTTCCAGCCAGGGTTTCTATACTGCTTAAGTGAAAAGGCTCGTGATTTGCACTTTTGCTGTAATTCCCTGAGAGTAGGGGCTGGAGAATGAAACTGCTAGCACACTCTTAACACTATTTCATTTCCTTCTCTCTTTTTTAAACACCAACTGAGTTCTGAAATAAGTTATTTAAACTTTACGTTATTTAGAACTTAAATTTATGTAGAAGACATTTTACCAGCAAGTTGAAGAATTTCTAGTACTTTAGTGAGTTCCAGGAACCAGGGAGAATTTTCACAATATGTGCTCATAACGTCTTTTATCATCAGAAGCTCAGCTTTTATTCTTGGAGCTCACTAGACCACTATATAAACTTGAGAAGTATGTAAAAACTAGTACCCCCAGCTCCACTCCCTTTGGCTTCTGCCACCTACCAAGCCCACAGCCAAAGCTGTCACCTACCGGAAAGGACTGCGTTGTGTTGGGCCTGGAGAAAAAGTCCGGCAGAAGGAACCTCTCTGGGGGCTGCTGATGGTTTGGCTCATCCACCACTGCGCTTCGAGCTCGGCTCAGATCACTATGAGGTTTCTGCAGGAGATAAATGTTCAGAAAAATTTAAACTATTTTTAGTGAGAACAATGCATGTCCTCCGTTCAATCTGACCATAGCTCTAATTACAGCCATGGGTTTATAACAAGAATACAAGAGACGTACCATTTGCCTCTGTGGCCCCAAGGCACTCAGGTGTTCCACCTCAGCTGCACCAATAGGTGGCAGCAGATTGTTTCGACTGAGGGGCATCAGTGAGGGCGAGGAGAGTGAGTCGGTGGCCACAGGCCTGCAGATCCCAGCAGGCACCAAGAGAGCATCAAGTGAGAGCAGAACAAAGCAGAAGGCAAGTTAATGCACAGATTGAGTTTAATGAGCAGTAAGCTTCACGCTTCCTATACTGATAATCTCTACAAATTACCACTTTGTTTAAATAAAAACTATCCTCTGAGTTTTTCTGAAGCTTTTCCTGAGCACACAGCCTTTCTCTCACAGAGAACTGGAATGGCAAACATTCTCATCTGCTGTTGCACTTTTCTGGTAATTACAGATTTTAAATTAATTATCCGACAGAATTTCTCTGGACCTTCCAGTTGCTCTTAGCCCTAATAACTATGATACTGAGTGAAAGCACCTAAATGTTCACATCACAGGGCTTGGAGATGTTTGCTGTTATAACTAAAGAGTAAGTGAAAACCAAGTGCTTTCGTGTCCCCATGGGTACAAGACAACTCTGAAGAGGGAAAAGGCAGTGTCAGAAGGACGAGAGTAACTAAACATCAAGACCACAGATGGCTCGATGTAGGGGCAGAAAGAGTTCTAGCCACATAATAAAACACTGAGCAGGTGAGTACACAGGTGGCCTGGCAGGATTTGGCTCTGGACATCAATGTTAGTGACTATACTGGGATAAACTCTAAGACGAAATTCAACCAGAACCAAGGTAAAACATGTCAGGAGAGAGCTAGCAAAATAATGAATTTACAAGCTGAACTCAACACACAGCTGCTGGTTTACTATGTCATATGCCCCAAGTGTCACTCACTCTCATTGTTGTCAAGTGAGAAGCGACTCTTAGTTGACCTCCAGAGGGTTTTCTGAGGCTGTAAATCTCACAGGAGGAACCTGCCCTTTTTTTGCCCATGGAGCCAGTGGTGGATTTGAACCACCAGAGAGGCATCAACCATGTTTGGGTGAGCAGCACAGATCCCTGTGGACATACATACACCACTAGAGCTCCAATCACAGTGTAGATCTTAGGAATAAATTATGCCAAGGCATCAATAGCTAGTGAGGTTTCTTTTCTTTCTTTCTTTTTTTTTTTTTTAAAAAAAAGGTTTCACAAAACACAATGTATGTAATCCAATATAAAAAATGGCTTCTGGATATTTTTTGCCCAATCAGGCTCAGAGTGTAAGTTAATGTGAGTGGGAAATGAGAACACTTTTATGTTTTCAGAAACACAATGGGGTATTTTATATTCTATTATAGATTCTGGTATAGAAACTAAGGTTTATAAAGTTTTCACTGCCATTGGAAAAAGCATTCTAAGTGGCCTAGGAAAACTGTGGGTTCTTTAATATGGCTTCCCTAGCCATTGTTGGTGTAACTCTCACACATGTCTGGGTATGACTATACAAATGTTAGTTGTGATCCACCAAAGGGATTAGATGGCTTGTTAATAAAATAAACAAATAGCACCTTATGGGTGGGAATATGCAAATAAGATATCTAGAACATTAGGATGGAGATTGGCTAGTTTTACCATTCTGCCAGATTTAAACAGAGAAGACTTGGAAGTCAGAGTCAGAAAATGGAAATTTCACTACCATCAAGAAAGTAGCAATACAGAGTATACTGACAGTCCTTTGGGTCAGAGATTCCTGCTTGAGATGAAGTGAGACCAAGAAATGGAGGGGGTCCAAGACCTAGCAGCCCAGCCGGCAGCAGAGGAGGGAGAGAACCAGAGACCAGTCGGCTTATGTGGGGGTGACATATAAATGATAGAACTAACATAATTTTGTAACACTCACCCAAGAAGAGTGGAGACTGAGAGGCTTGCTTGTTCCTGGGAGAGACTTTCCTAACTGAAGAAGTATATAGTGAATGCTCTCAACCTGAAATGTAACCTGTTACTTCTCTACCAAATTCCCTAATCATTTTTTTCTATGAGTTCTGTGTGGCCACGGTAATGAGCCATGGAATTCCTGTAGCAAGCAGTAAGAGCCTGGGAAGGACGGGTGGTGCTGGAATTTGTAAAAGGTGTGGAGCATGCAGGGTACATGACTGACTTCACAAGAATCAGCTTTGTATTGCTGATGTTCTTGAAGGAGATTCTTCCCTGTTATGAGGCTAGTAGGGGTCAGACTCTGCCACCCCTTGTCTGCCAAACGGGTTTGTTTTATTCCCATTACTATTATTTTAAAGGTACCCCAAAGGATGAATTTCAAAACCATCTCAGGAACAGATTTAAGGCCTTGAACACCAATGAGTGTAGACCAAATGAGCTCTGGGAGGATATCAAGAAAATCATCCATGAAGAATGCAAAAGATCATTACAAAGGCTGAAGGAAAAAGAAAAGACCAAGATGGATGCCAGATGAGACTCATGAGTATTGCATTAGAGCGCCGAGAAGCCAAAGCTAAAGGAAGAAATCAAAGAGTTGAACAGAAAATTTCAAAAGGCAGCTCGGGACGACAAAGCAAGATACTATAATGAAATGTACAGAGAGCTGGAGTCAGAAAATCAAAAGGGCCAAACTTGCTCAGCATTTCTTAAGCTGAATGAGTTGAAAAACAAATTCAAGCCACAGGTGGCAATACTTAAATATAGTTTGGGTGGAATGTTAAATGATCCAGAAAGTATCAAGAGAAGATGGAAGGTGTACACAGAGTCACTGTATCAGAAAGAATTGGCTGACACAGAGGAATTTCATGAAATAACAATGAGCAAGAGCCTATGGTGATGAAGGAGGAAGTTCAAGTTGCTCTTAAGGAATTGGCAAAAAACAGGGCTCCAGGAGTTGACAGCATACCAATTAATTTATTTTAATAAACAGACACTGCCCTGGATGTGCTCACTAAGTTGTGCCAGGAAATCTGGAGGACAGCCAGCTGGCCAACTGACTGGAAGAGATCAGTATTTGTTCCCATTCCAAAGAAAGGTGACCCAACAGAATGTGGAAACTACAGAACAAGCTCATTGATTTCACATGTAAGCAAGATTCTGCTGAAAATTATCCAAAAACGTTTGGAACAATATGTCAACCGAGAACTGCCAGATGTGCAGGCTGGATTTAGAAGATGTCGTGGTACTAGGGATATTATAGCTAATGTTAGATGGATCTTGGCAGAAAGCAGAGAATACCAGAAGAATGTGTATTTGTGCTTCATTGACTATGCAAAGGCTTTTGACTGTGTGGACCACAACAAGCTGAGGCTGACTCAGAAGAATGGAAATTCCAGAACATTTGATTGTGCTAATGCAAAACCTATACTTGGACCAAGAGGCAGTCATCAGAACAGAGCAGGGAGACACTGGATAGTTCAAAATCAAGAAAGGGGTCCGTCAGGAGTGTATTTTGTCTCCATACCTTTTCAATCTGTATGCAGAACAGATCATCTGAGACTCTGAGACTCTGGCTATACAAGGAGGAATGTGGCATCAGAATTGGCGGAAGAATCATCAACAACCTGCATTATGGGGATGACACAACCCTGCTTGCTGAAACTGAGGAGGACCTGAAGTGCTTGCTGCAGAAGGTCAAGGACCGCAGCCTTCAACATGGTTTGAAGCTCAACATCAAGATGACAAAGATACTCACCACTGGGCCAATTAGCAGCATCAGTATGGATGGTGAAGAGATCTGAGATAGTTAACAGTTTTGGTTTACTTGGTTCCACAGTCAACACTCTTGGTAACTAACAGCAGCCAGAAAATCGAGAGATGAATTGCATTGGGCAAGTCAGCTGTGAGGGACCTCTCAAGAGTACTGAAGAGCAACGACGTCAGGCTGGAGACTAAGCTACGTCTGAACCAGGCTGTAGTCTTTGCAATTACGTGCTATGCATCGGAGAGTCGGACAGTGAATAGGGATGACAGAAAGAGAACTGATACCTTTGAGCTGTGGTGCTGGAGAAGAGTGTTGAATGTACCATGGACTGCTAGGAGAACAAACAGGTTCGTCCTGGAAAGGGTGAAGCCAGAATGTTCCCTGGAGTCAAGGATTCTGAAGCTTCATCTGACATACTTTGGGCATGTTGCAAGGAGGGACTGGTCCTCGGAGAGGGACATCATGTTTGGGAGAGTGGAGGGGCGGCGCAGGAGAGGAAGACCCTCGATGAGATGGATCGATTCTGTGAGTGGAATGGTGGGAATGAGTGTGTTGGAGATGGCGAGGTTGGCAAAGTATAGAACGGCGTTTAGGGCTCTTGTACATAGGGTCACTATGAGTCGCAAGCGACTCGATGGCACATAACAAGAACTATTTTGGGATATATTCCTCTGAACATGTTACCACTAAGAAAATATTTAGTAAGTACACACGAAGCACTGGTTGCAGAAGATCAAGGATTGCAACCTATGGTTATGGATTGCATCAAGAAAACAAAGGTCCTCACCACAGGACCAATGATGGAGAAAGAAGTGAAGCTGTCAATTATTTCATCTTGCTTGGATCAACAATCAATACCCCTGGTACCAGTAATCAGGACATTAGATTTACTGCATTGGGCAAGTCTGCCAACAGGTACCTCTCCAAAATGCTGAAGAGCAATGATGTCAGTTTGAAGCCTAAAGTAAGCCTGATTCAGGCCTTGTTCTCTTCAATCACCTGTTACAGATCTGAGAGCTAGACAATGAATAAGAATGACAGAAGAGGAACTGATGCATTTGAGTTGTGGTGCTGGAGAAGAGTACTGAATATCCCATGGACTGACAAAAGAACAAAGAGGTATGTCTTTGAAAAAGTGCAGCCAGAGTGCTCCTTGGAGGCAAAGATGGCAAAGCTTCGTCTTTCATACTTTGGACATGTAGCTAGGTGAAGCTATTACTTGGAAAGGGACATCATGCTTGCAAAGAAGGAGGGTCAATAAAGGAGAAGACGACCCCCAATAAGATGGACTGACATAGTGATTTTAGTATAGTGTGTCAGAGATGATGAGGATGGCACAGGACAGAGTTCAGATTGACTTTTCACAGGGTCCCTTTGAGTCTTACTCAACTTGATGGCACCTAACAACAATAACCCCCCCCCACACACGCCTCTGTTATTCTCTTGGTAAATACAATTTTAACATTTGTAAAAAGAGAAACCATTAGCTAAATCAACAAAAAGATTAATACCTGTATTTTATGAAAACGTTAACTCCTTTTTTCTTTATTATTATTATTATTTTTTATGTGTGACTGTCAAATCGGATCTGATTGGTACAGGAGGCAATTGTTCCTCCTTCTTCAGCAGAGCATCTGGTGGATTTGAACTGTGCATCTCTGGGATTGCAGTGCAGCTTCTTGCCACTAGGCCACCAGAGCTCGCCTAACTCCTTTTTTCTATATTAGATTTGATGCATGATAAGACTACTTAATGATTAGTTTTCAGGCACAGATTTTTATGTTATATTTTAATTTATTCTTTATGTAAACTTTCATTAGTTTTACCCTAAGGTCCAGAAATTCTACTTTCCAAACCTACACTCGGGCTCCTCTGAGGAGTTCTTCCACAGGTCTTGGTGTTCCAGCTCGGGAATGGCTTGTACTGATTGGATGAAGTGTCCGTGGTGGGGGGTTCCGCCTCCTGACAGACTGAGCTGTGTATGACAGAGAGGATGAACTAAGCTCCAGAGCTCGATTTGGCCAATTTCGGGCTGAAAGGATGGTACTGGACCCAGGCCTCGTAAGTAGCTTGTCATCAAGATCTCTAGGTGCCAAATCAGAAACCCACAATATAATAAACACCATAAAATATAATAAACAGCAACAGGTCTCATGGTATAAAATCGTGAACACTACAATGCATTTAAGAAGGAAAAAAATAAACTTTCAATAAATAACCTCATCTTTTTTTAAAAAAAAAATAACTTTAAATCTGTGTGTGTGTGTGTGTGTGTGTACCATCAAATTGGGTATGACTGGTACAGGAGGAGATTGTCGCTCACTCTCCAGCAGAGCATCTGGTGGATTTGGACCTTATACCTTCCCCCAAGTTTGCTCTTCTCTTTGAAAAGTAAAAGAAAAATTCTTTCATTGTTATACAATCCCTCCCCCAAGTCTACTCCACTCTGCAGCCTTTGTTCTGGACTCCTGTCATGACAATAATACCTAGTCATATATCCCTTTTAAATAGTTCTCTCCCTCATCTGTTTCAATGTAGTATACATAATTTATCCCATCTTTCTCAGTCTCCCAACCCCGATGTCAGTCCCGTTTTACAACAGTGGCACTGTGCAGTATTTGTCCTTTTGTGACTGAGATTATTTCACTCAGCATAATGTCCTCCAGGGTCATCTTTTTTGTATAATATTTCATGAGTTCCCTGTTTTTCAATGCAGCGTAGTATTCCATTGTGTGAATACACCACAGCTTCTCTATCCATGCTATGAATATTTTTAACAAGAATTTTTAAAAGTCAAGGAAAATGAAAGGCGAGTGGGAGATTACTGCCCAGAAAAGCCTATGGAGCAGCTCTATTCCGTCAAAGGAGGTCACTCTGCATCCTCAAAAGCTGACTCAACAACACCCAACAACCACACACACCTGTCTGTCAGGGCTCCGAGATTAGTCAAATCTCTTTTAGTCTGCCTGATCTTTGGAAATCTCATACAGCAAAACCAGCAAACAAAAGCTATACACTGTTAACAGTGGGTTTCAGAGGGAAAATCCCCAATAAGAAAAATGGCTAAACAGTGAGATCTCTCTGGTCTTTTTTCTCTGTCTCATCCATCATGTTGGCTAACAGATTCCCATTCACTAACTTCTTTACTAGCTCCAACTGAACTTTATAATTGCTAACGATGGCTTATGTTCATCTTCATTTGTGGGCATCTCATTCATAATTCTGGATTCAATTATTATTATTTCTAGTCAAGTTACTTTTAGATCAACTCCAACTGTGACCTCCCTTCATTTCCAGCAAGATGGTCATCACTGTAAATTCAACACATCCCAACCCAAACTCATTTTTTTCTTAAAACAGGTGTCCCTCAAGCATGGAACCTCAGAGAACGTGGATGTTTCTATTTCTATAAAATTTGACTTTTGAAAATTACAGCACCTAGTTCATTGTTTTTATCCTCTCTTGCAATTCGGCAGTTCATGAACAACTATTAATATAGGAATAAATGTCTGTCAATCATTTTTAGTCAGAGCATTAAAATCTCCTCTTGGGCAAGAAGCTGCACTGCAATCCCGAAGGTGCATGATTCGAATCTACCAGATGCTCCTCTGAAGAAGGAGGGGCAATCTCTTCCTGTGCCAGTAGGTTTCAATTCAACAGTATACAAGAGAAAACAAACAAACAAATAAAAAAACAAAACAAAACTCAAAACCCCAACCCCAAAAGATGGTTCCTTAAAAAAAAAAAACAAACCTCATAGATTATCCTTCCAATTTGATTTACAGTCTACTGCTGCAAAATCTTCCAAATTTAACTATATGTGCTCTTCAACTTAAACTATACACACATATATAAAATTTATCAAACTCATTATATACTTAAAATCTGCAATTTTACTAAACAGAAATTTTACCACAGTTGAAAGAACAGTCTAAGCAAAATCTTGCCTGCCAACTGTTCATATTTCCAGAATTCGAAAGCCTGTACATCTAGTCCCCACCTTTTTTGATCTCATTGCCTCTTCTGTCCCACTAATCACACCATGGCCTATTATAATTGTAAAAGACTGTCAGTTATTTTCATTCAGAGCATTAAAGATCGGACATATTTCCTTTTCTTCTACTACAGCAAAAATTATCTGCAATTTCTTCTACTGCTTTCTCTTTTCCCATCTCCAAGTATTGCCTCACACCATTTCTCCTACTTAAAAAGGTCTGACTGCTCATCTCTGCTTATCAAAACATTCACCATTCAAAGGCAAATTAAAAAAAAAAAATCTACTTACTCTGCAAAATGCCTATCTTTGGGGCTGCCATCCCATGCACCCTGCCTACCACTCACAAAAATGCCCTACATGGTCAGATCTCTTTTGACCTGCATGTGTCTTTTCTTGCCATTTATAGGACCAGCTTCCTGAGGTGGAGACCACGCCTCTCAGCCATTTCACTCCTCAAGTTTCTCACTGTGGTTCCTTGGTACTCAACACATGCACACTGGCTGACTGATTTGGCTTTCCCTTTAACTCTCAATTATTATTTTTTAAAAAATTTTTTTGACTCTCAATTATTTACTTAAACTCTAAAAAACCAGAAAGTTCACTGCCACTGACTCAGCTGTGACTCACAGAGACCCTCCACTGGGTTTTGGAAGCTATAAATCTTACCAGGAGACTGCCCGTTCTTCTCCTGTGCAGTGGCTGAATCTGAAAAGTGGTGCAAGGCCTTTTGGTAAGCAGTACACTCTGGTATGGACTATGCCACCAGCTTTTTAATATCTATAGTCTATTAAAATTCTATTTTTCTTACAGGAGCTTATCCATTAGGGAGAGATTTCTTGGCTGTAGCGGCATCCCATGGACCAAGAGACCATTCACATTTGGCTGATGGCTGCTTGCTGCTTGACAGAGGCCCATCTACACGAAAAAAGATGTTACCCATGATCCGATGGTGAAGATACCTGGCTTCCCAACTTTGTCAAAGGTTAGTATTTCCAATTTAGGCCAGTTAGACATTCTTATCTTACATCTTAGCTTTTCTAACATTTTGAACATTGGCTCGAAATGGGAGCTCTGAATCCACAGTCCAGTTTTAAATGATTAACATGTGTAGGAATCTACCTGCACAAAAGCAATTAACAGCAATTTCGACAGAGGAGAAAGAACTTTCATTATTTACATTATACTTTGGGGAAAATAAACATAATGGTCACAAATAAAATATGAAATACAATTTTTTTTTAAAAGGTACATTTTCATTTTATCTGCATCCTGCAAAATGAATCCTTTTTCTTTCACTTATTACCCATGGAGCAGCTCTCAATGAGAATTTTTATACTGGAGACAGACTACTGGAGGAAGTTCATTTTATGCTCTGATGTTAGTTATCTGGTCTGATCCTGCAGAGTCCTTTCCTATCACTGGCTCAGCATCCTTTCTAGCTATCATCACAGAATGCATTTTCCTCTTTTCCCTAAAATGATTGGATTACCTTTTCCTTCTTTTGTCTATTAACAATCAGGTCAATTTTTTATGCCTTTCTGTTGTGTACAATCAAGTCAGAGCTGACTCCGGCAGGTTTTTGGAGGAGTTAATCACAAGGGAGGAAATATTTACACCTTAGGCAACCAAAACCACCAAAACCACAGCCCAGAAGGCCGTAAATTCTGACTCATGGAAACTGTATAGGACAGAGAACTGTTTCCTGGGCTGTAATCTTTACCAAAGCATACTGCCACATCTTTCTCATGCAGAGCAGTTTCAAAGTTTGAACCAAATTTAGTTCGCAGGTGAGAACCCAGGGCTCCTAGAGCTACCACCAGACCAGTTCAACCTGCAGAGGAGCACTTTTATCACTAGAAAACTTGGCTTGTTCCTTGATGTAATGGTTTACAGGTCTTGATTTTTTAAATTTTTTATTTTATTTTATTATTTTTGTGTGGTGTACCATCAAATCGAATCTGACTGGTACAGGAGGAAATTGTTCCTCCTTCCTCGGCAGAGCATCTGGTGGATTTGAACCGAGGTCTTGCTGATTTTAAATTATCGTTCTGTGAATCCAGGTGTATACTATCCAATCAGTCTCGCAACAAAACTTTTGACTAGATCTGGTACTAAAATCAAAGAATGATGAACATGCCTAAAGAGCAGAATCATCATTTTCTTAGTTCTTCCTCTTGTTACCAATATACCACCCCTCACTCGCATGGACGAACTAACCTAAAAGCTCAAACCCACAGCCGTTCAGTCAATTCTGGCTCATACTGATGTCCATCAGGCTTCCGAGCTGTGCACCTTTACAGGAGAAGACTGCTCGTCTCCTCCCTCAGAGGAACTGCTAGGTTTTAACCACTGACCTTTCAGTTAGCAGCACATGTAACACAAAGGCTATGGGAGCTCCTTTTTTTATCCAGAAACTAGAACTTCCTAAGTCAGTACACAGGAAAACAGTTTCATCAGCTCCCACAAGAAACAGGCATCATAAAGTTGCCCACAGACTTGAGACAGTTTTCTCCTCACTTTGTTTGCCTTTTGCACCATGGTTCTGAATATTAAAAATTTCAAAGGTAGAAAATTTAAAAAAACAAGGTAGGTGAGGTAAAAGAAAAAAGGAAATAAGGAGTCAAAAAGAGGAAATGAAAAAGAACATTAAGGCCACAAAACAGTAGAGGCTGGTCCCTCTTTTCATCATGAGAACATCCTACATTCTTTCTAAAAGAGACATATGATCACATAATGTTACATGCCATCGAGTCGCTTGCAACTCATAGTGATCCTAAGTACAACAGCCCTGAATCCTACTCTAGCCTGTGCCAAACTCATTGTCTCCAACACGCCCAACCCCATTACTCCAGTCACTGAGTGAATCCATCTCATCTAGGGTCTCTCTCTCTTGTAATAACCTTCCACTTTCCCAAGCCTGTTGTCCCTCTCCAAGGACTGGTCCCACCTTGCAACATGCCCAAAGTATATCAGATGGAGCTTCAGAATCCTTGCCTCCAAGGAGAAGCTTGGTTTCACCCTCTCTTCAGGACCAACCTGTTTGTTCTCCTAGCAGTCCATGGTATATACAATACTCTTCTCCAGCACCATGACTCAAAGGTATCAATTCTCCATCATCCCTAGTCATTGTCCAGCTTTTTGATACAGAGCAAGTAATTGTGAAGATCACGGCCTGAATTAGATACACCTTAGTCTCTAGACTGACATCATTGCTCTTCAGTACTGTGGAGAGGTCCCTGGCAGCAGACTTTTCCAGTGCAATTAATCTTTTGATTTCCTGGCTACTGGTACCAAGAATGTTGATTGTGGAGCCAAGCAAACTGATGCTGTTAACAATCTCAATCTCTTCACCAACATGATGCTGCCAATTGGCCCAGTGGTTGAGAATCTTAGTTGATTTTAAATTTCACAGCTCACAAAAAAGTTGACTGAAAATTACTAATCAACACCAATTTGATTAAAAAGAAAAATGGATCAATGCGTAGTCACTAGATTATTATGACAAACCTCAGGACCAAAAAGTAAACAAAGGGTAAAAATGGAATAGATTATCCCCCCCCCCCCAACAGCTGCTCAGGGGTCAATTGTTTTCATTATTTATCCAAAGGTGTCCTAAGAGATGCACCATCGCAGGGAATAGATGGTTTTAAGGCAGGGATGTGGTGGGATGGGGAATACCAAACTGAATCAGAAATAACACACGAAATCCTATTTCCTCTTGCAAGAGCAGCCCTGGCTATTCAGGGCATTGCACTGCCCATGAGCCCTGGCTGTCCAGGGCACTGCCCATGAGCCCCAGCCATCTGGGGCATTGCATTGCCTGTGAGCCCCGGTTGCCCAGGGAACAGTCCGTGTGGCTTACCAGATTTGAGGTGACGGACAGCACTTTAGACTGTGGCACTCGAGGTAACACCAGAGGCTGAGGTTCACTCAGTGCACAGGAGCTTCCTGAATTTGGTCTGGTGACTGTAACATTGCTCTCATCATCTGAACAAAGGAAAAGAATCTATTATCCATGGATGTCTTCAGATCTACAGATAGTACTCTGGAAATAAAATCTCTCATGAGAATTCATGATCTTCAGCTAGGCTGCACTCCTCTTTGCAGCTCAATTTTCTGTCACTTGCAAGGTTCACAATAAATATGCCAAGCCAAGAACTGAACATGGACAAGGCTGGTGACACTTACTGTTAACCTGGCAGAAACAAATGCAAAGATCTGTAGGGCAGCTTTGTCCCATAGAACACTTGTAGATGACAAAAAAGTGTTCTATGCCTGCGTGCCCCAGTATGACAGCCACCACAGCCCCATGTGGGTATCAGGCATTTGAATGTTACTGATGCAACTGAGGAAATTAAGTTTACATTTTAATGAATACATTTAAATTTAAACAGCTACATGTGCTAACTGCTGTTGAGTCAGACCCCCTGGTGGGGTTTCAGAGGCAGTAACGCTCACAGGAGGAAATGGTCCAGCTTTCTCCTATGGATGCAAACTACCTGCCTTTCTTTGGGCTGTAGTGCAATTTGATTCCTTACCCACTAGGCCACAGACCCCCACCCCCCATATTTGGCAAGTGGCTATTATTTTGGACAGAACAGTTTTAGGGGAATCTTGAGGTCAATCTTCAACTTAGGCCTTCAAAGAATTCCCCTACCTACACTTACAAGATCAGAACCCACTGTCAAAACTCACTACACCCACAAGACTCACCACAAAGCAACTTAGAAACATAAGCAACATATTCAGACAAGCAAGGACTTCAGATATTAGAAATGTTCCCAAATGTAAACTATAATGACAGAAAGATTAGTGGTCACATGGAGATGGGAGGTTGGGTAGGATGAAGAGGGATGGCTTTAAAAAAGAGACACAAGTGAACTTTTGAGGGCAATGGCTATGTTCACAATCTTAACTGTGGGAATGGTTTCAGGAGTATATAGAGAAGTCAAAGTTTATTAAAATGTATACTTTAAATATGTCTAATTCATGTCAGTTCCACCTAATTCAATAAAGCTATTTTTTAAAATGTCTTTGCATTTGTAACCAGTTTTACTGATATATTACCATATTCAAAGAGAAAACACAAGCTCTGCGTACTGTTGATATTAAATGAATACCTGCTAGTTTCTGTGGGAAATACAAAGACAAATCAGGGCCCCCTTTGGACTCATGAAGCATGCACCCCAAAAATAGGCTGCTGTAAGCAGGTGTTGAGCAAATGTCAATTTACATGAAAATCCTAAAATATGTTCTATATTATTTTCACCAAGATCCTCACCAGAGACATATCCTTCCCAGTGATTACGTATCAGTCCCTCCATACAGCCCAGGACCTTGCTCCACACATTGTCAAACACGTATGCAAGCACATCTTCCTTCATGCAGTAAAATGGAGCAATGGGAGGGTAGCCTGATTTCTGTCTCTCTGCAGCCACTTCTGACTTTGTTCCATGAAACTCCTGTTCCCTGAAACATAAGCCAAAGTAAAAAAGAAATTCATGATTACTCTTCAGTGTTCACCACTGTTCTTTGTGCTTCTTCTCTTCCTCTTGATTTTCCAATAATCTTATTTTTATTTTTTTATGGTGCATTGAGTAGAAATTTATAAATGAATTTCCCATTCAGCCATGCGTACACATTTTGTACTGTAATAATTTCGATGCTAACAATGAAATCAATCTTTTTCCTACTTCTTCCCCATAATCCAGATTTCTACTAGTCTTTTCTTTAGTTGTCTGCATATTCTCTTTAGTGATATTGTGCTTATCATTCCCTTCCTGTATACTGTCTTTTCATTCACCGATCCTAATATTGTCTATTGTCTATTAACATTCCATGGTTCAAAATCAGGAAAGGTGTATGCCAAGGATGCATCCTATCTGCATACCTTTTCAATCTATATGTGGAATAGATCAGCTGGGAGGCTAGGCTCTATATGAGAAGGAATGTAGCATCAAGATTGGAGGAAGACTCATCAACAATCTGCATTATACAGATGACATAACCTTTCTTGCTGAAACTGAGGAGGACCTGAGGCATTTGCTACAGAAGGTCAAGGACTGCAGTGTTCAGTATAGATTGAAGTTCAACATTAAGACAAAGATTTTCACCACTGGGCCAAGTGGCAGCACCATGATAAACGGAGGGATTGAGATTGTTATTAGCTTCTTGGCTCCACAATCACCACTCTTGGTACCAGCAGTGAGGTAATCAAAAGACAAACTGCAATAGGAAAATATGCTATCAGGGACCTCTTCAGAGAACTGAAGAGCAATGATGTCAGTCTGGAGACTAGGGTGCACCGGATCCAGGCCATGATCTTTGCAATTACTTGCTATGCATCAGAGAGCTAGACTAGGATGATAGAAGAATTGATGCCTTTGAGTTGTGGTATTGGGGAAGAGTATGGAATATACCATGGACTATTAGGAGAGCAAACAGGTTCAACCTGGAGAGGGTGAAACAAGGTTGCTCCTTGCAGGCAAGAATTCTGAAACTGACATACTTTAGGCATGTTGCAAGGAGGGACCAGTCCCTGGAGAGGGACATTATGCTTAGTAGGTGGAGGGACAAGGCAGGAGAGGAAGACCTCTGGATGAAATGGACTGACTCAGTAACTGGGGAAATGGGGGTGGGTGTGTTGGAGATGAGGTTGGCTCAGGACAGAGCAGGATCCACAGCTATTGAACATAGGGTTGTTATGATTTGCAAGTGACTCAACAGCATGTAACAACAACAATAACAATTTTTACTCCCCTCTTTGTCCCTTTCTATGCTCAGCCACCAATCATGAATGACTCTGTGATTAGCTTTTCTGTAGTTCTATAATAGTGGTCTTATACAATATTTGTCCTTCTCTGACTGACTTTATTTCACTCAGCATAATGGACTCTTGGCACCAGAAGCCAGGAAATTAAAAGATATATTACATTGGGAAAGTCTGCTGTCAGAGACCGCTCCAAAGTACTGAAGAGAAACAATGTCAGTCTGGAGACTAAGATGTGCCTTATACAGGCCATGCTCTTTGCAATCACTTGCTTTGCATCAGTGAGTTGGGCAATGCTTAAGGATGATAGAAGGAGAGTTAATGCCTTTGAGCTATGGTGTTAAAGAAGAGTATTGATTATACCATGTACTGCTAAGAGAACAAACAGGTTTGTCCTGGAGAAGGTGAATCCAAGCTGCTTCTTGGAGGCAATGATTCTGAAGCTTCATCTGACATACTTTGGACATGTTGCAAGGAGAAACCAGTCCTTGAAGAGGGACGTCATTCTTGGAGGGTAGAGGAACAGCGCAGGAGAGGAAGATCCTCAATGAGATGGATTGATTTAGTCACTGGTGTAATGAGGGTCAGTGTGTCAGAGACAGAGAGATTGGCACCAGATAGAGCAGGGTTTAGGGCTTTTGTACTCAGGGTCGCTATGAGTCGCAATCAACTCAATGGTACATAACAACAACAACAACAAAGTTCTCTAGATTCAGCCATGTCAAGTAGTATTTCAGAAGTTCTTTATTGATTTTTAGTGTTAGAGAAGTATGTGAATGTACCAGTTTCTTTAGCCATTTGTTTACTATGTGTTTTGGTTGTTTCTACCTCTTTGTTATTGTAAAAAATGCTATGAATATGAGGACGCAGGTAGATAAACAACAGAAGGGAGCGCTGGTGACCACGTGGTAAGCAGCTGCATTGCTGGCCTGAAAGCAAGAATCAGATGCTCTAGGAGAGAAGATGGGCAGCCTCCTCCCACGTGATTCACTGTCTATGAAAACCCACTGGAAATCTTGACTTCATGGCATACAACCATCACCTGATGTGGGATTGTGGATCAAATGGTTACTTCTATTTCCAGCTTTCTAAGGAAGCACACTTTTTCTCTTAATAATATATCCAAAGCACTCACATTAGTTTATTACCAACAGATGTGGATTTATTGTTGTCATTCTGCTGCACCCTTCTGTGGTGATGCTGACTTCTGTGTCCCATCTACTTTTCTGTAAAGAGCTCATTTTGTTGATGGCTTTTCTTATCATCTCCACTGCTGCTGTTTTAATGTTTACTAAGTTTTTTATTTTCCTCTTTACTTTGGTCATATTTATTAATTTTCCTGGAGGTTACCCTATAAGTAACTATTTTATTCCCAAGTCTAAGAGAGTTCATTTTACCTCACAATTGTCTTGTCTTCCTCTCTATTTGGAAATTCTCTAAATACACTACTTATTCCCTTTTCTGCATTGCAATCATCCTCACAGATTGGTATCTCCCAATCCCAGACTCTCAAATAAGCTCTGATGGCCTAGTGGTAACTAGGAATGCACTGCAATCCTAAAGGCATGTAGTTCAAATCCACCAGCTGCTCCAGGTGGTAGCTGTTGTTGTTATGTGCCATCGAGTTGCCTGCAACTCATAGTGACCCTATGTACAACAGCCCTAAACCCTGCTCTATCTTGAGCCACCTCACTATTTATGACACACCCACCTTGATTACCCTGGTAACTGAATCAATCCATTGTATGGTATAAGGATGGGTAATCTCCTCCTGTGAGATAAACTGCCTCTGAAAAATCGCCAGAGAGCCAGGTACGGATTGGTTTTGACTTGATGGTATACAACTTTATTTTACTTTGTGCATTTCTGGGTCTGAGTAGGTTTCTCTGAATGATGTTGTCAAGAATGTTAATTTAAGTGGCTATCAGCCATTGTTGGCTCTAGATCCAAAGAACTCCCTTAAGAATTTTTTTGAAGGTTGGTCTAGTTCACAAATTCCCTTAGTTTCTATTTATTTTGAAATATCCCAATTTTACTGTCATATTTGAGGGACAATTTTGCTTGGTATATAATGCTTGGCTGGATTTTCTTTTCTTTCAGCATTTTACATATGTCACCCCACTGCCTTCCTGTCTGCATGGTTTCTGCTGAGAAACTGGAGTATGGTCTTCTTGGTTTTCCTTTGCAGGTAATTTCCACCCCCCCCCCCCCCAGCTACTTTTATATTCTTTGTCTCCGATTTTGGAAAAATTTTCTTTTCTGTATTGATGTTTTTCCTTTGGGGGTCACCTTGTCTGGGGTTTGCTCAGTTTTTTGAATGCATATTTTTTACTTTTTCCATAATTGGAAAGTTTTCTGCCAGCAAATTTTCAACAATCTCTTCTCTGCTTGCTTTGTCTCATCTTGTTCTGAAATTCCAATAACATGTAAGTTATGTCCCACATAATTCCTATGCTTTCTTCATTTTATTTTCTCTTTTTTCTGAGTGTTCTACTAATTAATTAGTATTAAATGATTTGTCCTCCACCTCACTAACCCAGTATTTCATTGCTCCAAGTTTGGTTTTTTTTTTTTACAGAGGTTTTGGATTTCCATTCATTCACTGCCTCAATTTTCTCCCTGTCCACCCCTCCCCACCAGCTCGCTTCCCCCTCCGGAGAGAAAGAAAAAAAATTCCTTCATTAGTATACAATTCCCAAGTCCCTTCCCCCCACCCCCCACCCCGAGTACACTTCTCTATGCAACCTTAATTCTGGATTCC